TATTAGTGGAGTTATAATACAGGATAAATAATGACAGATAATAGCAGATAAAACAGAACAGAGAGGTGTGTGTGTAAGTGGTGTTGGACAGCCCATATGTTATTGCTGTGTGTTTTTGTTTTTGTTTTTTATTCAATTTTTTTTTTTTTTTTGGGGGGGATAGGGGTGTTGTGATAGCTGTGGGGAAGAGCTTTCAGTAAAGAAAATAATGAAATTATTGGTCCTTTGTTATGAAATAAAACCCTGGTGATCCAAGTTTTGGAGCTTGTGTATAATTGTGAGCATCTTCTTAGAGAACAAAGCAAAGAAAATATTTTGATAAAAATAGTCAGAAACTGGAGTGAAATGCACTTGCTAAGTGGAGTGGTACTGAGATGTGTAGATGACTTTTTTGAGGATTCTATTCAAAGGTTGAGTTCATTATTAGATGTAATACTAATGCTTCAGTAAACCAAAATATTCTTGGTTTTGCTATCCAACTTTTGGGGGATCATTTTGGGGGAACATTTTTTTTTTAAACACCTCTGTATATCGGTGCACAATTGGTGAGTCAAATCAAAGCTTGAATGATATGCATGCTTTATTGGATCAGGTGTTCAACTCTATACTCTATACACTATCTAGAGCAAACACTTTGGGATGACCCTCTTGTCCAACATCAGTGTATAACCATTAAACAACTTGAAAAAAATTATTATATGCAAACCAAATCTAAAAACTATGAGCTAAAACTCCATTACTGCCTTATTTCTAATATCAAAACTATAACCTTTTAGTTCACATGCACTTACATTTGCTTTGCATGTGGAGACAAGTAGAAAGTCAGATGGAGTGGTTCCTGTGCGATTCCAAAAACCTTACTGACTTCCAAAATAGCAGAATAGGATCCTTAAGAAATTTTTGGACATATATTCTACGTCTTTTAAATAAATGTTTTGGATTTTATCATTTGGTTTTTATAATAAAGACAGCATGTTTTAATGAACATCCCAAACTTAATTTGTAGGATTAAAGGTCATTTTAGCCCAATCCAAAGTCATTATAAGAATGGTTTTCCAAAAACTTGGTTGTTGGTGTGAAAATCGGGATTAAAGGTCAGATTTCTGAGTGTTTTTTAAACATTTCTAAATATAACACATTAATTAGGACACTTTAGTAACTTTCCTTTGTTTACTAGTTGCGTACAAAGGGATGTTTTTGTTTATGTTTTTTAAGCTGGTAAATTTCCAGTATTACTTCTTGAAATGTATTGGAATCAGTGACTTGCCTTTCCATGCACACTTTTGCATTATCTTGTCTGCAGGTAACTATAAATATATGTAAGCTCAATCACATACACATACATCACTGTTTACATAATGATGATAAAGGCCCCTTCCTTTACTTGCACTGTGCCTTTTTGCTAATCAGACACACAACACCCAACCTCTTCAAATAAAAAGAGGGCGGGTGTCATTTTCTTTTGCATTTTAAATGGATGGGGTTGAGAATAAGTCATTTATTATACTTGGATAGATTCTGCTTGTGGCTCAGACAGGATGTTTCATATTCCATTAATGATTAATTAATTGCAGTAGCTCCCTTTAGAGACATCTGTTCAGTTGTGAGGTGTTTTAATTTAACAGTGACTGAGTGATGAGGACAAGGAAGCCTTAAGATAGGCTAAGTTATTACTTTAGGTGTTGACAGGAGGACATTAGATATACTCTGAATATAGTCTGAAGTACTTTCTTTTTAAGCCCTCCATTGTGTTTCACTGCAGGATTCCGGGTTTTTTTTTAAGGTGCAGCTTTTAGGAATTTTAGTTTCGCCTAAACTCGTAAAACTTGTATTGGGGTAATGTTTTTCCTGTTTGTATTTATTAACATGCACTTTTTTTCCTTCCTTTTACATATGAAAACTTGCAACTCTAGTCATCCCCCAAGTTGTTTTGTAATCTTTGGTTTAAGCTTGTTTTTTTCCGAGAAGAGCCAGTGTGGTAAGTTTTGTTAATACTATACGAAACATGGAAAGTTTTGTTAATACAATCGCTGTTATTACAAAAGCATGGCAGAGAGGAATTTATGTTTTTATTATTGAGTATAAAACATCACTTTACATTTTTTCACTGAATTATTTATTATTTGCTATCAATTTGACCAAAAAAAATCTAATATACAATATCAAAACTTTTGATATTAACAATTACTATTAACATGCAAAACAGTAAGACATATAAAGTCAGAGTACGGTCTGGAAAGATATGTATTTTATATTTTAAAAAATATAAAAAAGACAATAGATATGTATCCCGTTAACCCACATTTAAAATAATTCTCATTCTTATGTCTAAGCATCTATTTTTTAATATTTGATTTAGCCCGTTTTCTTTGCGAAACATTTTCATTTATCTCTGTCATGAATGGGTGACGCCCTTAATTTATGCAGTTTTATTTTGCACCTCATGATGGCGAGCGCCAGCGTGATAAGCTCGAAATGCCCAGGTTTACAACTACAGCATCACTCCCAGCCTGAGGACAAGTTTCTGTGCGATGAAACCGGAAATTAGATGTTTTTGACTTCAAAATAAAAGTTGACAACAAATATTCTTTGCAGAAATTATGTACCCTACGGACATGAGGTACCAGGTGTCAGTATTATTTAAATGATGTGCTGACTGGCTTTAGTCAGGTTTCCTTTTTTCTGTAGTTAGGATCATTGGAGGATGTGAAAAGTGGAGTATAAAAGTAAGGACCACCTATAGAATGCTGATGAGAAAGTATGTCAGCCAGAAATTAGGTCTATGTGTAGTGATCTGATAAAAAAAAGTATTTTAATAATCAAGGATCACATCCTTTGTTTTGCCCAATTACAAATGACATACTACTGTTGCAAAAAAAAATAAAATAAAAATAAAAAGAAGAAGAAGAATGGGCTGCTAATCAGGTTTTGTAAATTAACCACATACTCTCCATTACAACATAATTTTGGAAAGATGATGAGAGCAGTTTTTTTTTTTTTTTTTTACATACATGAGTTTTGTGGGTGTGTGTGACGTGTCCCCCCACCCCCCATTCTCCAATTAAATTTTATTTTTTAAATATTGGATTTTGCTAATTTTTGTTTGATTCTTTATCGATATTTGAAAGGTTTAAAATACACATTGAAAGGGTTTTACCACAACCTTCAACAATAAGCTTTATCGTAAAATATATATATATAAATAAAAAAATAGATTTTTAACTACTTATGAAATAGCACATATTTGTCAACAGATCCTAAGCATTTTTTGTTTTGTTTGTTTGCACGCGAGTGGCCCTACCACGAGTGATTAAAAACGCTTAATGAAGCACAAACTTCATTCCCACGTCTACCAGTTTATTTTGAAAAGCTTGACCGGATGTCTCGTATTTGATTACGTCACGCTTGACGCCGGTGCAGAGTGGCCCATTGAGCACAATCTTTAAATAGGAGTAATACCCCCGCGTACAGTGCGGCAGCCTGCTGGCTCAGATATTTTGGTCCTTATCTCACTCTAAACCTCTCCGAGAAATTCCAGGATGCCTTCAAATAAAAACATGCAAGGTAAAGAAATAAAAAAAATACAATTCATAGATTTTTATCATTATTATCATTGAGGGAGGCTGAATGTCTGTCGGCCGTTAGCTAAAGCTTTGAGTCTTTACAATAGAGCGTCGGAGGCCGACTGGCTCCCATCCAAGGCCAGCTAGAGGAGGCATCACTGTTTACTGCAGGAATAACCTGAACCTCTTTGTTTTTAGGTGGGAAAGCTTTCGGTCTGTTGAAGGAGCAGCAGAGGCAGAAGCTGGAGGAAATAAACAAGGTAAGAGGGAGGCTCTGCGTTAATGAGGTCGTGTACACTTGACTTGGCATTGGCCTTGTTTCTACAGCGCAGACTCCTCAGTGTCTCTGACACTGCATATGGCTGATATACAGCGATCCCTTCTATTGATTTATTGCACCTTATTATCTCCTGGCACTTGTTGAATGGCTGCATACCTTCTCACATGATTGTCTTTGGGGAATGCTCCCCTCTGACCTGTTATAGCTGCTCTGCCTCCTTCCCTTTATTCAGAACAAGGGTCCAATGGGCGCTTTGTTTAGCATCTGGGTTCCTTCCCATCAAATATGCCAGCGGATTAACTAGATCTGCCTGTAATCTGTGCTCCCCTCCTTTATATGATCTGCTCAGTGTCCTGTTATCAGATCACCTCTGGAACAGCAGCATGGAAAGCAGGTCGCTGCAGCTTGTTTAATGCATGACACTCCTTGCTCCCTTTATCTGAAGATAAAGTGTTCTGGTCTGTTGTTCAGGGTTCCTCAACTACAGCTCTCATAATAAAGCAGAAACATGTTAATTAATGATTTTTGTTCAGTATCTGCTTCATTGTATAGGACTAACAGAATGCCAGGTATATTGGATAATTCACAGGGCCTTGTATGATAATTTGTACCCATTGCACTGTTAGGTGTGTAATTTTTGTGTTTTTTGTTTTTTAGGCCTTAAAAGTTCATCATTGTTTTTACTAGAATCTAAATAAGAAACTTTTCGTCTTCTTTGGAAAATCACTTAATCTCAAACGGATTGATGAAGAGTTTTGCTTGGATTGATTGTTAAAATCTGGATTTTATTTGCACTTTTCAAAAACACGACAGAGCTTGGATTGAAACCCTTATTATTTTTTTTTTTTATCTGTCTCTATTTTCATTCTTTGTTCAGCTGGAAGGTTAACCCACATCTGTTGTTGCCAGACATTTATTTAGCTGCACCCATCATCCTATATCATCTGACTATGCTTTTCCATCATATCTGAGGAAAAGCATCTCCAGACCATGATGCTACCTCCACCATTTTTCACAATGTTTACAATTGGGTGCTTTCTTGTTGTAATTTTTAAACGATTTTTTTCTCACTTTTTTTGTTTTTGTTTTTTCTTTTTCATCACTGACTGTATTCCAACTCCTCTGCCAGACTTGCATTGAGGAAAATAAGTATTTGAACACCCTGTTATTGGGCAATTTGTCCCACTTAGAAATCATGGAGGGGTCTGAAATTGTCATTGTAAGTGTATGTCCACTGTGACATAATCTAGAAGAAAAAATCACTGAGTTTTTTGTTTTGTTTTGGGGTTTTTTGTACGATAGAGCCGAGTTACCAGGTCACCTTATTGGGCTCCTCCTTAATTAATCCTCTCCTTGCCTGGGCTGTTGGTTTAGGTGGGTCTGTCATGTTTTGGGAAGCTTTCAGTTGTGCTCTTCATCCCTTGGAATGACTCCTTCAGGGAAATTCTGGTTCCAGTAATTTATATAGGTTATAAAAGGCAGAGTTAAAGCACAATGCAATTAAAGATAAAAATACAACAGACGATATACAGTGTGTATATAATACAAAAGAGCATAAAAAAGTTGTGATATCCCGGAATATGTTTCCTTTAGAAATATATTCCGGGACATTACAACTTTTTTTAATGTTTGACTAGATTCACAGCTCTTTGTAAAATGTTCAAAGCTTGCGATTGGTTTATTGTTTTATAATCTCACCTTGCTTTAAACCTTACCTGTCTGGTTTGTACTGTGTTCTTAACCATTGTCTATGAACAGCTGTATTCCTGTACAACCACAGGTTATGGGTTTTTATTTTGGTAACCTCAAACTAAAATCAGCTGCATTTATTTTGCAGGACAATCAACTGCATTCTACTTCATAGCTGATATCTGATTGTGCTGGTATTTTATCAAAATGGAACAGGTATGGGATTTGTACTGGCCCTGAAGAAGGCCACAAGCTTAAATGTGTTGGTCTACCGATACATTTTGTGCTTTAGGTGTTGAAGTGTTCATCTTACCAAATTTGCAATAACTATCTGATTTTGCTGAAACATTTGTGATTTAATGACCACTTACACCTCTGGCCTTTACATGTAAGTCCCCGCCATCTTCTGAGAATCTTCAGGTAGATATTTTTTGATTCATGTGAAGTGGAAGGTTTGATGTCCGTGTGCAGCACTTGTTCGGATGTGGTTGCATGCCCTGCGCCTGTGATGGGACATTCCTGTGGGGAGGCTGCAGTCAGCTGAGTCAGGCTGCGATGATAAACATCCAGTTGTGATGGTTATCCTTTTTGATTGCAGGTCTCTGTCACACAGAGGCCAAAACATTGCTCTGTCTTTGAAAATGGTGGATGACTCCTTCACAGCACATAGCGCCATTATAATTTCATTAGAACAGCTCCCTCCAGGCTCTCCTGCCTCCTCCGCGCTCTTAATACTCCCCAGTAATTAAGTGGTAATAAGCCACAGATAAGAGGACCATAAGATATAATTAGATCAATGCAATTTGAGAGTTTTGTCATTTATCTCTAAGATAGTTGTCAAAACAGCTTTAACGAGTTTCACTTTCACCTTAACATGCAAAACCTGTTTTTGTTTTTCATTTTTTCTGATCTCATTCAGTTTTATCACCTCTTTTCATCTTTCTTAGGAATACTTGGAAGACCAGAAATACAGGGATGAAGAAGGCCTGGCAGAGAAACTGGAAAGCTTAAAAAGTAAGTAAATCCAGTCCTTCTATCTGCTGTTCCAGTATCCAGCAGTCAGGTTGTTTTCTTCTGCTCTTCTTCTGCTTTTTTTCCCTCCTTCCACCTCCAGCTGCTGTTTACTTGTTGGCAGACTGCACAGCCTGCTTTGGCCCCCTTCGGTTATGAGCATTTCTGCTATTCTCTGTGGGAAAGATGGTCTGCTGTGATTTCCAAAAAGGATTTTCTAGGGCCAAGTCTTTGGTGGCCTTAGAGGAATGTGTCGAGGCGTTTCTACGCTTGTTGTTTCAATATTCAGAACCTAGCTGAGCGAACTCTGAGCTTCTGGGAAGATGGAAATCATTATTAGCTAGCTAATTACGAGAAAATAGTTGCACAATTTGCAAGCAGGATCCCTGACCTCCAATACATATTTATGCATCTGTTGTTATGAAGTTTTATGTTTTTGTTTCCTTTGCCGATTGTAAGCTCTGTTTATAATCTCCAGGACATGGTGACATATGGGCATGTATTTTAATAAGTTCTGGAAGTGGGAAATATGCTAGTAGTGTCCTACTTAGAGCTTCGTCTTGCTGGAGGAAATGGAGCAGTGCTATATAAACAGCACACAACTCCTCGGAGGTTGCTGTTTTTTTTTTTTATTTTCTCCCCCTTTATCCTTTTTCCCATAAACCAAAGTTCAACAACCTGACAGCTATCAACCATCAATATCCCATCAGATCACCTCTTTTATCTTTTTCAAAATTAATCTACATTGTTTTTCTCATCATTAGTGCATAATTGATTTTGTACTTCTTAGAATTTATATTTTTTGTACAAAAAAAAAAAGAAAGGATAAGAAAAATATCATTTTAAAATTAAATCATGGCTTATACATATATTAATTCTAACCAGGAGATGGTGTAACAGGATGCAGGATGCATCCAGTAACATGACAACGCTCTCATCCAGAGGAGGATGCACACATGTTTATTCCATTTTCTTTAGTCCTGTGAGAATGACTGGAGCCAGATCTCTCCACACCGAAGCAATAGAAGAACAGCTTACAATGAAAAACTGAGGCTTCACCATCCACCTGCTTATTATTGTCTACACATTGAAAAAGTTTGGGTGGAAACACAGTAGTTAAGACTGTTGGAGCAATGGAATGTGATTGAATAGACCACCAAACATTTCTAAATTTAAAACCAATTAATTGATTGTACTTTGCATTTATATATCTTTCAACCATACCTGCTTATTCTTCGTCTCCAGCAGTCATTGGGGTCACACCAACCGGGCAACTTATTTAGGCCAGTTTAGCTAACAGGCCTAATTTCCGACCAAACCCAGGACTATCCATTTTATATCCTTTACTTCTAAATATCAGTGAATATACCTCATTGGGTCATCTGGTCCACAAGACATTGATTCAGATTTTGCCAAAAATTTAAATTGTGATTATTTTACACCAATATTGCAATTGCGATTTTATTTTTTTTTTTTTTTAATATTTTTCTGGTCTTGTTTTTTTGCACTAAGCACAAGTATTTATGTTTCCCTCCAGGGTTTATGCTTTTTCTTGACCTTGAAAGGTTGCTTTGCCAAAGTCCTTTTTTGCGTGACTTTACTGTAACCTTTGCACTAAATTCTAGTTGCATTCATGAATTTGCGTCTGTGTTGTTGCAATCCCACTTTATGCATATTACCACCACCTATAGGGCTGGAGTGAGAAATGTGCTCACTAATTCTTGTAAAATGTAATGTGATGTAAACTGAGAACCTCTGCGATTTGAAAATTTCATTTTGTTAAATTGCCTTTTCATTGCAAATGCAGCTAACGGCCCAGAGCTAGACTGTTTCTCTGATCTTTGCACGGACCTGTAAGTCTGCCTTGACTACACCTTGAGAACGTGTTGACTACCTTGGAGGGAAATATGCCGGACTATGTGGGGGGGTTTAGTGTCTCTTGGTACTTGGGCCGGGCAATTAATTGCATTTGCAATATAATTGCAATTTAAAAAAAAAAAAACACAATTTTCAAATCTGCGAGGCAATCTATTTTGGTCATATTACATTTAAAAAGAGTAAGTAGCTAAATGTATTCCTTCAGTCCTTCAGCTGGCGGTAATATGGTTAAAGTGAGTGCACAACCACACAGAATGGAAGAGGGATGTGCATCTAGCGTGCAAATACATGCATGCATGCAAGTATAATTCATCACTTCTTGGGAAAAAGTTACAGTAAAGTCCTGCAACAAAGGACATGGACAAGCAAGCTTTCCAGGTCATGAGAAAACTGAAACCCTGCAGTGAAAAATGTACATGCCTTTTATTAATGCAAAGGAAAATCGAAATAAAAATCACAATTGCAATATTGGTTTAAAATAATTGGAATTTTAATTTTGGTAAAATCGTTCAGCCTTACTTGATACGAACCAATTTGGTGCCAATATTCAAAATCGTTCTGGGGGCATGGTATGATTTTTGTTCGTTTTTGTTTTTTTATTAATGGGGTAGAGTTATCCAGATGGATTAATGCATTTTGGCAGGTTAAGCCCAAATGAACCCTAAATATGTCCATCCACTCGCTATACCCATTTTTCTATGCCAAGGGACAGTGGAATGGGCATTGCCTCTTTCTTCAGGGGTTATGGGTGAAATACAGACTGTGGACTAATTGCCAGTCTATGAAAAAATACAAAAACTCCTTTTTAAATAAATTTTTTATATTAATAAAGATGGATGCCTTTAGACTCCTACCCAGTGGAACTACAAAAAGCATGACTTATGTGGAATTACAACCCTGACATCTATTCATCTTGTCACTATTAGTCCATTAATCTTTGGATTTTACACATGTGCAGAGATAACCACCGCTGACTGAGGAGGCACAGTTTATAGGAAATATGCCAGGAAGGTGCTCTCATATAGCTACACTAAGTGCAAAGATCATTTTCCTATCAACCAATCTGAAATATATCAGCAAAATAAAGATTGGAATTCAAACTATGTTTTTGATGAAAAGATGCCGTTATTGAAGCTCCCTCTGGTCCGTGGATTATTGTCTGCTAGTCTTTTGAAGGCATGGGAAACATTCTTTATCAGAAGGCCAACATGGCAGAGATGGTGTGTGGCGTTATCATGCGATTCAGCTATTTTATCAGCAAGCTTAATAAAGAGCTGCTTCAGATGGCAGTTGGAAAAGAGGCTGGGCGTAAACTCACTAACAAACAAACAAAGATCCTCAGTTTCACAAATGTTTCAAGTAAGAAGAAACTAAAATCAGTGTTTCACATTAGTCACTTTGTCCACATAGTTTCTGAAGGAAGTTTGAAATGAGCAACAACTGAAGGTTGAAGGTTTTTGCATTTGAGCTCTCCTCAGAGGCAGCAGATGATCAACAGGCTGCACCACAACAAGTGGTCCTCTCAAAAAGTCATGCATGTGTGTGTGGAGGCCCCCTCCTGAGGGTTTATGAACAGGGTGAGCATTGTGCTGTCCCTCTCCCCAACGATTCACACAGTTAACACAGCAACCCCTCTCTCTCCTCCAACACACACAAAGCATCCATTGTGGGACAGAAATAGCAGGAGTAATCTGACCAAAGGGGTCTTCTAGAGACGAGGAAGGAGGAAAGTTGAGGAGGAAACACAGAAATATCTGTTTGCTGGTATCTGGAAAGAGTCACTTCAGTGTTAAATGACATTTAAGGTTTGACACATTTGGTTAAAATATACAAATTTAAACCAAATAATTTTAACATAGAAAACTAGTTACTGTAAAATTGATTCATTAACCAAAACAATTCACTTATGGAATCTCCTATGAGAGCTGAAATCCCACCATAGAGCTGATACTTTACCCCCTATAGATGCACGATGGCATCTATTAAGAAGACAATTCTGGTTTTAATCCCAATCTTTCTTTATGCTGTTTGCATGCTCTCCTCATGCATTTGTGGATTCTCTCAGGTTACTCCTTCCGATTTAAGGGTACATCTAAAATTACTGTTATGACTAAAGTGCTAAAAATGATCTCCTTCAATTATTTATGCATTTATTTCACCAATAAAATGCAGCAGTTTTATTCAGCTTGGTTGGTTGGAGCAGATCTAAATGTTGGATAGAGATGTTTGTGGGTTTGTTTAGGACCGGTGTGGTATGAGGAAACTGAGCTTCAAAGACTGGTGATATATTCTTCCCATTGTGAAAACCCTTCCCTTTTCATCCTTCCTCTGCTTCTCCCCTTTCAGCAGAGTCCAAGACTGTGACCTGTGGATAGCTTGTGTCAAGTGTTGTGCTGACAAGTCAAATGCCAGCTGAGATATTGTTGTTTGTGCTGCAGAATGCAGGGTGTGAGGTGGGCTTGAACTCTCCCTGTACGCAATAATCCCTCTCTGTGTTTGTTTTGCAGATAAATATGCTGAGTTTGACCTGAACGATGAAGGAGAGATTGGTGAGTAAGAACCAACAGTAAAAACACGTGTTGCCCTCCCAAAGTGCTGCGTTGACAGGACAGAGCAGTAATTAATACAACACTCTGTGTGTATTCTCTGGCCTCAGACAGGCTCATGTGTCACGGTTGGGTCGTCCACGTAAAGTGAGACTCCTTAATTCGACCCACAGCAGATGTGAGGTGAACAGGTGTTGGACACTAGACGTAGAGCCTGTCTGCAGGTGCTGAAATCCTAATTCTAATTTCGGGTTGGGTCTGCCTGGTCACGTTTATCACTGCAGTAAACCCAGATTTGAACGAGGATGACTGTTCCTCACAGCTGCCATGCGGCCCAGCTGAGGTGGCATGTTGGGTCCGACAGTTGTCAGCTGCTTTTTCTACAATGATCTAAAGAATGTGTTGCTCTCTACATGTTTTTTTTTTTATCTCAAATAACTTCAGGATGTGTAACGAAATGCCTTTCAATGCTTAGCTTAGGATTATACTCTTTATTCTCGTTAGCTAAGCTTTACTGAACTTTTGAACTGTTCTAATGCAACAGTCTTGTTAAACACCAGCTGCAGTTGTACCATTTAGTGCAATGTGCATTTATCCCTTCAATGAGGCTTCCTTTTGCAGAAATGGGGCAGTTGATTGCATTTCCAATATAATCACAATTTAACAAAACACAATTTTCACAATTGCAAAATGTCAAACTTTTTTGTCATATTAAATTTAACAAGACACTAAATTTCTCACTCCACCTCTTTAGATGGCAGTAATGGGCTTAAGGTAGGTTTGCTGTCATACAGAAGGGTAGAGCGAGTTTCATCAAACCCACAGTTCTAGTCATGACAGTAAAGTCCTGCATCAATGGACTCTGGTCAAACAAGCTTTCAAAGTCATGAAAAAAAAAAAAGTCAAAGTAAAATCGCAATCGTAATACTAATTGGATCAGGAGCAGCATACTGCTTTGGTCAAAAATAGACACTCAATGTAAGAGTTGGTGTTTCTGCAAAGTTATTGGGATTTATGTACAAGTGAAATTTTAATGGAGAGAGACAATGAAGCTTCGTTTTAGATGTTACCGGTCCAAAAGAGAATGTTACCATACTGAAAAATGGGCCTCCTGCAGAATATCTCCCTCTTTTCTTCACACTGCACCTCGCAGCAGTAAATCGTAGGCACAGTCACATGGAACTTTTATGCTTTCTGCTCTGTTTCAGGGAAAAAAAGAGGATCAGAGCCAGGAAGAGGGTTTTAGCACCTCACTCACTCTTTGCAACTGTACATTAACAAAACAATCAGCAAGACCCTTACGTTCACACTGTAAGCAGCAAAAGCAGCAAAACCCCGTGTACTGCTTCATTTTTTATGCTTGTACGACTTTAGTTCTTATGCGTGGCTTAAGCAGCTTGGCTGCTTTGTCTGCGCAGTGGAAAAACTGCTTCTGATGCGTGTTGGGCGGAGCTACCCTATCCTTGCTTTGCCTGTAACAATGGCAGCTATATATGCTGTGATCAGTGGTTAAAAAGTTGTTTAAATGTTTTTTAGTGAAAAGTCCACCTGAAAACTTAATCTGTGCAGTCAGTTCATCCAGATTACCATCCTGCCTTCAAATATTATTTAGCTGTCGGAGCCGCTCAGAACCCCGTACACTGGTGGTGCGCTGTCAGGAGGAATCCCATTCAACCGCCAAACAGATGCGAAGAGACCAAATCGTCTCTTCGCAGTTTGGCGCGGTGGCTGGAAGGCAGGTTTTATTGTATGTAATCCATACTGCAGGCACCAGGATAATAAAAGCGAACATGTTTTGCCTGCAGATTTCAGCATTTTGAGTAAATTTCGGCGTTAATAAACGGTTTCAGGACGGTGATCATAGTGATCTGTAGCATCAGCGATTTGTCTCTCTCCCTGCCAGCTCCCAGATCAGCTTCTCTGATTGGTTGATGTGGCTCGTTGAGCAGCAAAAATTCAATTTTTCCAACTCCAGCAGCTGCTGCATTTGCAGCGCAGCGTGTTGCGCGGGTCAGAAGCTCACGACGCGCTGCTCCTCCTGCTCAAAATGAGCTACAGGGCCTTTTAATGCGCCTTGATCTGCGTCAACCATTGACTTTGCATGTAAACTAGCTGCTCCTGCTGCCTTTGCTGCTTTATGTGTGAACGTAGCATTAGGCTGTTTTTTTATTTATTTTCCTTTTATATAAGAACCATCTAAATGAGCCCTGAGAGTATTATTGGCTAACTGATCACTGGCATCAGTAGAGCGTGTTTTCAGTTTCTTTCAGTTTCAATCCTTCAGAGTGTAGTGTGTGATTAAGTTATATTTAATTGGGGCCCTTATTGTGACGTCTCATTTGTTTTGATTATGTAATGGAGGCACATATAAACAGTATATATTGCTCATTTAAGGAGATAATGTGTGACTCAAGTTTTCTTTAGCCTTATGGATTAAAGAGTAAAGGAAAGACAACCCTCCTCAGGCTGTTGCACTCGTTTATACAAAGTCTGCTATATTTTTCCTTTACATAGAATAATAGAAAAATATCTCCTTGGGTTAATAAATGGGGAGAAGTGCCACTCATCTCTCATATTGTGAAAACACTGAAAAAGAAAGGGTAGACATATTTTAGAAAATGGTTCCCCCCAAGCATTCAGTATTCTACCCTTTTTAAAGATAAAAGCCACCTCTACATTAGCTGCAGAAACAAAAGACTGTTATTTTCCTGTTTCCTCTTATTTCCTTTGCAGTCTAGAGGTTCTCTTGCAGAAAAACAGTCTGTTTTTGTGAACATGATCTTTTGATTGTAATGCACAAGGGAAATGTTTAGTATGTTTGGAAGAAGGATGGCAACATTAATGACAAATGACCAACAATGTTATGAGATGATCAGAGAAAGATGATACATAAATATTCTTGCTTTTGTTGAATAAAATGTAGCATAAAATGCTGGTTTGATCTTTAAAGAACATTTTGGACCCAGTATACCCGTTTCTTCAACATTTCCGTTCATGGTAAAAGAGCTGATGAAGCTGATGTCCTGATTTCTTTCTCCAAATCTCAGATCTGATGGGGCTGAAACGAATGATGGAGAAGCTCGGGGTGCCGAAGACCCATCTAGAACTGAAAAAGATGATTGTTGAAGTGACCGGCGGCAGCAGCAACACCATCAACTACAGGGACTTTGTCAAGATGATGCTGGGCAAGCGCTCTGCTGTTCTCAAGCTGTAAGTAAACACATGGATCAGTTGTGATGCAAACTGTTCGAGCTTTTCTGCAGGCTGCGAATAACCTACTGATGAACTGCTGCTACGTCTGAGAGCAAGGTCGGTGTTGACGATTACCTGCCTCATCCATCTGCAGGGGGGGTGTATCAGTCATGACAAGCTATGATGTCACTACCCACTTGCTGTTTGTCACCATAGCAACAAAACCTATTTGGAAAGCCTATCCATTGAAAACACCCCTGGCTTTAGCTGCGATTAGTGGCTTATGTAAGTGAGTCCAGGCTGATTAACCGCTGACCATCGCATAAAGGCTGAGGGGGGGAAAACTCATTAGATATTTTTTTTGTTGGTCTGTTTTTAAATAGGTTAATATATCTGGCTTAAGCTCTGTACAGCAGCTGGGTGCTGGTTCTGCCTTGCCAAAATGGCTGCTGAATGTCAGTAAGCTGACTGGACCTCAGACCCCAGACTAATCTCATAATCCCAAAAACATCCATCAGAATACATAACTTTTCCTACTTTGTCTTCAAATGTTTGTGTTTTTGTTTGTTTTTTTAGTTTATCCTGTAATCCACCAACATGCTATTTATAAAAATCTCATTTCCTCCTGCTTCTATGTTCCACTTATTTTCATTCTAGTAAGATGAGCTCCGCTTTCCAGCAATCCTGTTTATTTATGCTTTCTCAACACAGAGCGGTGAACTATTAAAAACATTTTTGCTGTTCTAACCTGATTTAATAGAAGGTGAAATCGGAGCTCAAAGAGGATTAATTTAACAGAAAAGTCCTAAAACACTGTTTCACATACAGTGTGGGGACATTTTTTTTCTACAGCCTGCAGTCCTTTGGAGTTGCAGATAAGAGGCATGGGTTTCTAAACTTTTCTTTTCTTGTGTTGTTTTAATCTTTAAAGGAGGAAATGGGGGGGCTGATGGAGCATTTGGCAGAACAGCAATTGATTCAGTTCCCATTAGAGGGAAACAATTGAGGGCAGACTCTACAATATAGCTCAGTTAGCATCAGGGTAAATGACTCTACGGTGCTTTAGTTTGATTATCCTGTGTCTAAATGACAGCAACAGGTGATGCATTTTTTTGTTTATTTTATTTTTTTTTATCTATTTGCTTTGATTGTTTGGATGCCTTGTCAATTTTGGGCAACAGTTTTGGCATCATGTTGAGAGCGGAGATGTTATCAGTAAGAGTTGGCAGGAGAAGGACAATACAGATAGAAGTGAAAGTAGTGTCGCTTTACTCATTTGGGATCATTAGGCCTTATGGGATTAGCAGGGCTTTGCTGGGTTTCCCAAAATAGTAAATTAAAGGCAAGCATTCACTGTAAATAGCTTGTCAAATCCCATACTGTGTTTCTAGGGCTTCCCTTTTTGTCAACAACACTGAAAAAATTTAAAAACTTGGAAAAAATACTTAAAAAAAAACTTTTCTACATACTTTTTTATAGATTATTTAAAAAAATATTAAACATAAATTAGGACAATCCTACATTTATTCCCTGCTAAATTGCCTGCTTAATTCAGACAGTTATATGATATAAGGTGCATCTGATCAGAGCATCTATGATCAGCATTTTGAGGGAGTTTTTCCCTGTTTAAACCTTTCGATGTTTAACTTGCCAAGTTCCTGACTCTGGAAGTTAGATTGAACCCTGCTGTAAGATCAAAGGAAGGCTGTAAAATCTTATGAGTCAGGTAAAGGATTGAAAATGGTCTCAAAAGAATACCTTTTGATAGTTATGCATGAACAAGAGTAAAGAACAGGGCTGCTTCCCCCCAGGCCTGAAACTGATTGTGGAGTGGAGATGGATGAAGTTGGTCAGTTGGCTGCTGGTTAGCGAGACGGTATGCTGAGCTTTATGGGGAGATCCAGTGGATGTGTGAGCTGATATTGGAGCTTCACTCAGAGACCTGGAAGATGGAAGTCTAGTCAGATAAAACAGGTTGAGAGAACCTGTCCATGATGAGCAAGCATGAAGTGACAGTGGAGAGGAAAAACTCCCCTTTGGGAAGAGACCTCTGGCAGAACCAGATTCAACATGGCGGTCATCTGCCGGACCGCTTGAAATGAGACAGGGAACGCAGTAAGAGCAAGGGAGGAATGACACTGTAATGAAGCTTTAGCTACGATGGTGGAGGAGGGGCTGGAGGTGGGTTGAATCAGTGTCATCTGAATGAAGTCACACAGCGCATCCGCCGCTTGCGCACATGAGCAGAGAGGTGCGTATTGGAGGCCTTTTAAGATGAACCTTGGATGCCGACTGGCTTTCGTGGAGGTGTGGTTCAAGGCTGATTGGCTTTGTCGCAGGTGGATGTATGAAAAGCAATTAGTTTCATCAGTTGTAATTCCGCCTAGGCTTCATAAAACATGCAAATGAACTAGAAGAACATGTCTGCACCTCAAGAATGGGGAGTCGTTTGGGGTTCTTTGTTAGTCTGCCATATATGATACCTGTTTATACCTCTGAAAGAGAGGTCATTGGGGTCAATTGTTGGCTTGGCTGCAAAGGCGAGATATTTTGTGCCCTGCATGGGGGTGGGGGGTTGAAATGATAGTGGGAAGGAATCAACTCTATCACAGGACCCACAGCTGGTACAATTCCAGTCACCCAGTGCAAGTTTGCCTTCTAAGACAAAAACAAAAGGCCAGACTGAAGTTTCTCAGGGTGAACATAGTCAAACATTCTTTGGACAACTGAGCAAAGCTTAAATGATCATATTTAGTAGTTACAGCAGTACAGGAATTGACATCTTACCAGCTGTGAAACATAGAGCTGGAAGTGTCATAATCGGGGGATGCTTGGCTGCAGCAGCATCTGACCTGCTCAGCATTATATAGTCCTTAATATTTTCAAATGTGTATGAAAGGAAACTGCACCTGAGGCATTACCATGACCCCAAACATAGCAGTTCAGTTAAGTGAGGACTGGCTGTTACCATAAAAGATCCTGGTAGGATGCTGTAAGGTGACCAAAGCACTGAGTGTGGAAGATCGATGACATCACTGTCTGACTTACTATACTTTAAACATGTGTGCCCTTTATTTTGCTTAGACTGTGGTTATTCTCCTTAAATGGGGAAAAAAGAATCATTATGAATACAAACCCAACTAATCAATAGTGAATCTTTTTTATTTTTTTGGTATATGGTCCTTTGTCAGTATTAAGCTTTGACCCTGGATTTGTCTTAAAATAGAACATTATCGCAATGTTTTTTTATGCTTCTGCTGTTGTTTCCATAAGTATCCAAATTTCTAATGCAACAGGTGGAACATCAAAGTTTTGAATGATTAACTTTTATTTTGTTTTCATGCTTATTTTTTCTTTTCCCTGCTCTCCTTCCCAGAGTTTTACTGTTTGAAGATAAAGCTAACAGCACCCCCTGCAAGCCAGATGGACCCCCACCGAAACGAGACATCACCAGCCTGCCTTAAACCTCCATGTCAGTCTCCAGACTGTGGAGCAGAGGGACCATATGTGGCTGCATGGAACAACGTGGAATATTGTTTTAATGTGGAAACCAGGGATCAAAGATGATGTTTTGTGAACAAGTGGTGCGTGAAAGGTTTCTGTCGTTTGGAAGACCGAGCCTTAAACTCACTAAAAGATGTTTGACTGTGAATATTCATGTTTTTTTCCCCCTTTAAATCAAATGTAGCAGTGATAGTTGTACATGTAATCCAACTGATAAGTTAAATTTTTTTACTAAGCGTTTTGTGGTTGTATTTTAAGGGAACACTCATATTTCTATAAAAGTTGCTTCTCTGTCCTTTCTTTCCTTAAACCTGGAAAAAAATCCAGCTTAATGACGCAAGACTTGGTGACTTCTGGAAAATCCTTGAACAAAAAGCAGTTTTTCTGTCCCATTTTCTCCACCTTCCTCACTAGTCCTACATGCTGCTGCTGAGCTAATGCCAGAGAACACATTCCGCTTATTTCATCCTGATCATCAGACCTAGGGTGCTGCAACCTGCTTTTTGAAAATTCACTCACAGTTGTTTAGAGATGAGCAGAAAGAGATTACACTAACTGGAGGAGTTTGGGTTTCAACAAGTGGCTTGAAGGCCAGCCGGTTTGATCCAGTTTCAAATGGGTGATCTTTCAGGACGCAGTTTCACAAACACACAAAGCAGAACAAATGCACATAGAATGCTACATAAAGTACAATCACGTCCTTTCCAAGTGCCTCAACTTGCAGCTACTGTAAGGCTTAAGCCCTTTCAGAAAGGAAGAAAAGCACACATGCATTCATGTAAAACCACTTTTAGCTTGGCTATTCCAGAAAATCATGAATTTATCTTTGATTTTAGGTAAGATAGCGTGAATAAGTGAATTTTAAATATGTTTTGCTATTGCTTTGCATTCATGAGTGAATGAGATTTACTCTTATTTTTATTTTGCTTAATAAACGTTTTATATTTCACTGTAAGCGTTAAATCTGTCCTTGATTTGTCTTTTTCATTAACCCTTCATCTTGGAGGTTTTTTTTGTAAGATAATTTGTGCCTCTTTTCTGCCCATTGTGTTTATTTTTTGTCATTTGTCCCACCCTGTTGTGAATTTGGTACTTTCACACATTACAAGGTTTTTTCAGTCTTCCAGAAGCGTCACATATTTTAGCCTGAAGATGCGCATTGCTTTGCAGACACCAAAGGAATCGAAGGTGGTTTTTACACCGTCCTTATTGCAGCTATGAAGCTCTGCCCTCAAACTTATTTCAGGACATGTAAATGCCAGGCTTAGTGCATTCTTGTAGTGGGGTTGTGTGGAGCAGCAGTGAGATGAAGATTTGTTTTGTTTTTTTATCTGCTTTTGCCAACTTCTATGTAAGGTATTTTACAAGTCATTTACGTTGCACTGCTGAGTGCACTCCAATCACTGCCAGGTCCAACTCTTGTTGCGTGTGTATTTGCTTTGTTATTCTCTCTACAATTTGTCACACAGCTTACAGTGTTCTAGTTTCAAGTGGGAGGAACAGCGGAATGTGGTAATTGTTGACATCAGTAGCCAGGCTACCTGCAATTAGCAACGCATGCCTGTAACATTTTACATCCTAACCTGAGGTTTATTGAAATAATTTTTACAACTTTTAAACTTTTTTTGCACAACTGCTACTTTGGAACTGCATTCATGGATTGTTTAAGGGTTTTTTTTTTCTTTCCCCAACTAAAAATAACCAAGAGCCCTCCATTTAGTGCTGATTTGTTTTTTTATCTGAGAGTTATGACCAATTTTCATTGGAGCGCTCTCTTCTGAAAATAGCATTAACCTTCAAAAGGGGTGCTGGAATAAAAGGCCTTTTCTAAACCTACTCGGGGTTTCATTGTTTGCTATGAATTCCTTCGATGTTTTTTTTTTTTTTTTTTTGCCTTTAAAAATATATCTGACCTTATTGAGCTCCAGATAAGAAACGAGTCTCCATGAAACTGACCACACAGCCCCACTGTAATAAACGAAAGCACCAAAAGATGTGAAAAGCTCCTTAAATCTTCAGATTTGTAAACCCTGACGGCTATCTGGAATTACTTTGTAATAAAGAAGTACCTCCACTCATCTTTGGCAGTTTTGTACCAAGAAGTATGTCAAACCAAACCAATTTCAGGAAAATATCAAGTTGCCCCATTGCATTTTTTCATCATTCTTGAAAGTGTGTATATCAGTTCCCTCTTGATTCAGTGTTATGCTTTTATTTTATTTTCTTGCAATTTCATTCTGTGTGTGTGTGAGAGTGATTAAGCAATAAATGTCTTCTTGTAAACATCACCACCTGTGAATATTCTTTTAAATTTGCTCCAATCTGCTCTATATTCTGGATACTATGTAAGGGCTGTTTAGGAGAACAGTTGCTGGGATGTGAAACAGCATGGAGGATAATAAGCAGGACTCTAACAAGCCTGCTAACAGGCAGGCCTAGTGGGATTATATTAAGCACCCCTGTAATTAAAATGATAACCACTGTTGCATGTAATAAACTGTCAGCAGCTTATAGAGCCAGTGCGGACAAGAAAGAACCAAGAAACTGAGGAAAAAACAATCCTGTAATAGCTTTTACCTTAAGACCAATGTTAGACTCCAGCTTATCTACTATCTCTATTTCTACTATCTGTATTTCATGTTTTGAAGTATGCAGAATATTTTGATCTTTATTTTTAACATTTCAAGTTCAAGTTTTATTTGTTTGAAATGGTTTATCAGTAGTTATTTTAAATACACCAGATATAGACCTTATAACCCTGTATGGCTGATTATTACCTGTTTTCTGCCTCTAGAATAATCAATGCAATCTATCAATGAGTAAGACCCATAAATGTAGATCTTATTCCTTTACTGGGTCTGCCTACCATGCATGAACATTGCCCTCTACTGGACACTCTAAGTGAAGCTATTGCTTGCTCCTGCTGCTCTGTCTGGATCTGTTTTTGTAAACCCTAATAACAATCGTTATGCTGCAGAGGCAAGTTCAACAAAAAGTCACACCACTCAATTACTTTTTAGACTTTTTATAGGTACAGAAATATGGCTGTTTAAGCACTAGCTATTCCAGCCAGTACAATTAACTCCTCAATGCCCTGAAAATCAATGGAGACTGAAATAAATCTCAATGGTTCCCCATAGAACATGCAGCATTTAGTTAACATGAAACATACCTCTAATGATGCAGAAAAGGATTCCAAAAAATGTCACACATGAATTAAACTATCAGTCAGATCTCCTAATAAGGGCACATGGTTATGGCTGCTTTTAAAATTGGGAGGTAAGCCTAATGATACATAAATAAATAAAAAGTAGTTAGTGCGCTATTAAGATGAACTCCCAGAGCTTTTGGTTCACAGGCCATACAAGGTAAGGTGGACTAACAAAACCAAACGACTACTTCAGCTAATTTAAACAAGCAAATTGAAACCAAAAATTCAAAAACAGTGTTTATTTTCTACTCATAAAACCTCAGAAACTATAGCTGAGATGCGTACACTCCCATGTGCAACTGAATAAAAAATAAAAAAAAAAATAAAAGACAGCGTTTTATTAAAATCTTATGTGGCCATATTGAAATATCTGAACAAAACATTAAAAAGAGCTACTGACAGCATTATAGGGATTAGATTAGTTGTTTCTTACCACATAATCCAGCAGCAGAGGCACAATAATCAGAAATCCATCCACTCCTTTATGCAGAACTGTTTCAATCTGAGGGATGCATTTAACACAGAAATGATCAAGGATTTAACACAAATAGAAATACGGTGCCTTGGAAAATTATTCATTATGTTTCAACTTTGTGATGTTTGATCTGTTTTTTGGGGTGGGGTGGGGGTATAACAGACAAACCCCAATGAGAGCAGAATTGTTACGATTAAGCCAAAATTATTCATACATCTAGCAGATAATGACTAAAAATTGCTTTTACAGAACTCGAGTGAATAACGATTAATAAGAGGAATCACTATATAGGGAGTTATGTTATTTACTAGCATTTTTAATTCTACATTTGCTTAATTTTTTTAATGTGTTCAAAATTGGTTATTAAGTTACTAAATAGTTGATGGGAAAACGTTTATGAGCTATAAACACATTTGAAATCATGACCATCTTTAAATGTTTTTGTATATGGACCATTTCTCTTTAGTGATTAGCTCCAAGTCTTTGAGTTCGGCAGGCCTCCTTGTCATAACCCTAATATTTAGCTTCCTCCATTGATTCTTTAACAGGTTTAAATGGAGACTATGGCTTCCGATTGCCCT